CATTTGTCTGAAACGGTATAGGATTTCCTGCCTAGGCAGGGGATTGGACTAGAAGACCTCCAAGGTCCCTTCCAACTCTGCTATTGTATTGTATTGTATTATAATGAATTATTTCCAGCCTTTTAATCATACTAAATCAAATTCCATTTATAACATGCATTGTTCTAAAACTCAAGTTATATAACTTAAAGCAGTTATGAGATCTACTGTTATAATTTCAAATTATAAGCAGTTTATATTCTCTAGCAGAAAAATAAAAATATGACATAAAACCACTTTGTATGTGATCCAAATTTAAGGATTTGCAGTCTCCTAAACAGCAGTTTGCCACTGATTTTAAATTGTACATGATATACTTTTTAAAAATAAAAACCTTCATAATTTTTATATTAATGGTCAATTTTTTGCTTCTTAGGTAAAAGTATGGATGAAATTAAGAAGCTGCTACTTTTGGTATTGGGTTGTGCTGTACAGGTAAGTTTGGTTTTGATTGCTATTAATTCATTTAAATAAATGGAGTATAAGTATAATTGAGTAATTGTGTCATGAGGTACATTTACACCTCCAAATTAGTGTATATAACAGCTGCATGGTAACATTGGTAACAAAATACTCATAGTCTGACTCCTTAATGTTGTTGATTCACTAAAATAAATAAAAAATGCTCATTTTTAAAATATAATTTGTAAAAAATAATTTGTCAGATGAAATAAAATATCAAAGCAAAGCAAACCACTTTCTATAACCTCTTCCATCCTAGTAACTTGTTTAAGTAAAAGAAAATGCATAGTGGTACAAAGTACGTAGTATAGAAAAACTTTTTTTTCAAGTTTAAATAATTTGAACTAAATGACATAAGCATTTTAGAGTTAAAAATACTAAAGTTGGTTTTCCCCATGCTATAATTAAATAGAAGGTTACTGATATTAAAATGTAAAATACATCTTGTGATTACTCAACAAATAATAGAAAGAAATAGGTCAACATCTTAGTGTTTATTTCCAAAAGATACTCATCACAGCAACAGTTTTATGATGTTCAGACCAATGCAACATTCATACCAAAAACCTTTTGGACGTCAAATCAAAGTACCACAGTTGTAATAGAGAATTAAAACTAAAAGTTCATTTTATCTTGTTCATTAATGTTAAAATCACATTGAAGCTCATGACTGTATAGAATTTTGAAATTATATTTCTATGTCCATCATATTACAGTAGCATTTGTTAGTAAAATGCTGGTACAGATTTTACTTATTCACTGGCTTCTTTCGCACAGTTTGCATACATTTCAGCTAGTATACCAAATTTTACATATATTACTATTCAAATATAAACTATTTTAACAATTCTCATATATATGTAAAATTTCAGAAGAAATACCTTATGTTCCAATTTCTGGGTTTATGTTATGAAAGCTGAGAATTATTCTTCAAACATCTGCAGGGTTAATTTGATGTTATAAGTATTCAGATGCTCTTAGCAACATTTATTTTAACAGATTTAAACATTCATTCAGTTGCGTTGTATTTTGTTTCCAATTATTCAGTCCCATGTTAAAATGCCAAAAGCCGTAACGATTATGCACAAGAAGAATAGATTATCTGTTATTGGAAAGTTTGTATAATGCGAACGCACAATTCTGCTAAAATAACTATGGGAACCAGGATTTAAGGTCAACCTTTTTGTTACATGGTTAGGACTTCAGCGGTTGGAAATAATTTATTAACTACTTAAATCATACTTGACATAAACTTTCTAAATAGTGATGAAATTTCTTACCCCTCCCTAGTTGTTACATTAATATATCATTGAACTTTAAAAAATTCAGAATAGTAAAAGTGTTTTGTATTTGTGATCCTGATAAACTTGTGTACGATGCATTCATTATTATTATTATTTTGCTTACAGTGTGAAAGAAAAGAAGAATTCATTGAAAGAATAAAGCAGCTAGATATTGAAACTCAAGCCGCAATTGTTTCACATATCCAAGAGGTGACATTCTAATTACCTTAAAAATTCTAACGTTTTACAATAAAACTTCCTTTCTGTTGTCCAGATTATGCATTTTCCCTATCCTATTTTCTAAGATAGCCTAGTAATTAATTGTTCTGTTGCTACAATTCAGTTCATATACAACACCATTCTTTTAAAAATGTCAGGAGACTGAATAACAACACCAAGGGTAACGTTATATATGATCTTCACACCTGAATGTTGCTTCACCAACATTTAGCTATTCTTCAGGACTGTATAATACAAACACATTTTTTCAGTCACTGTATTCTTGCCTGTAATTCTCATTATTGTATTTATATTCAGTTTTTCTCTTGAGAACTCCAGGCAGGGTACATGGGATGGGGGTATTTCCACTCATTTTATCAACCCCACAGCAACTCAAGCTGGTTTGAGAAAGAAAGTGAGTGGCTCAGAGTCATCCAATCAGCCCATTACTGAAGTGGAGATTTAAACCTCAGTCTCAACATTAACTTCAACACATTAGCCAGTATATTAAATCAATGATTTATGTTGTTTGCATTCAGTATGTTAATTTTTAAAATATTTACCACATCAGGAAAAACTTGCATTGCGTGGATGAAGAAATAAGGCCTTACTGCAAAAGTTCATTATTATTTTTTAATTGCTCTTTGATTTTTAAATAGCTATTCCAAAACTACAACTATATTTAATTTCATAATGCAAATTTTATTTATTTTGACCACTGGCTATTCATAGAAAAACAAGCCTGGCTTAGAAACACATCCATTTTGACTGTTTTATTAAAATCCTGGATTTCTAATTTTCATAGCCATTACATTTTTGTTGAAGAAAATCTAATCAATGGTGTAGAATAAATGCAATGTATTTTCACTAAAATAATGCACATGTGGTAGCAAAGGATTCCATTTATTGCCTACAAGTACCAAACACAGGAGCAGATTAATAGGTTTCCAGTTTGCCTGCTAACTTGGATTCCCCAACATTTTGGGTATCAGTGTCCAGCCTCCTCATTGCCTCATCTGAAGTCCCCCCAGTTATTGTTTCCTGCTGTTGAAAGTCAAAGAGTTCAGGTTTAGGAACAATAATTTGATAAATCAAAAGTATTCCTATTGGCATAAACAAGTATTATAACTGTTTATCATAAATTATACTGAAAAGTTATTAGAATTTAATTTAATTAACTGGCACTCTTAAATATCGCTTACTATGTAGAACAACAGTATGTACATTGGAAGTTAAGCAGCACAGTCTGGGCAGGGATAACACCTGCAGATAATTTGCAAAAATAGAGTAAGCCAAGAGAAAAGATCATTGCGAAAAAATCTTAATAAGGATTTCTGTCATTAAAGGTTGGTTGCCAAACAGCGGGCAGTGATATAGTACAATTTCTTATGCAAGCTTCTTATGCTAGTGGGTGTGGCTAACAAATCTGTGCAGTTTGGTCTATTGTTTATTTATTATACCAAGGCCAGGATCAGACTTGTTGCCTGAATCATCTATTATTCATACCTAGCAATAAACAAACGTCACATTCATGGCTTTTTACCCTTCTTACTTTCAGGTAACCCATAATCAAGAGAATGTATTTGACTTGCAGTGGTTAGAGCTACCAGCTATGGCTCCAGAAGAACTAGAGTCTCTTTCCAGAAATATGGTTTTTCACCTTAAGAGGCTGATTGATGAGAGAGATGAGTGCACTGAGGTATGTATTAATATACGGGCATACTTTGGACTTTTCTTTTCTCTTAACCCTGTACTCTCATATTGGATTATTTCATTGTTTCTAAAATACGAGCTTTTTATTAAATAAATACATACAAATTTATAAAATAAATATATACAAATTGGGTAAAGGTTCCACTCACACATATGTGCTAGCCATTCCCAACTCTAGGGGGTGGTGTTCATCTCTGTTTCAAAGCCAAAGAGCCAATGCTGTCCGAAGATGTCTCCGGGGTCATGTGGCCTGCATGACTAAATGCCAAAGGCACACGGAACATTGTTACTTTCCCCCAAAGGTGGTCCCTATTTTTCTACTTATATTTTTTACATGCTATCGAACTGCTAGGTTGGCAGAAGCTGAGACATTCGAACCGCCAAACTGCTGATCCTTCTGATCAACAAGCTTAGCATCTTAGCCACTGAGCCACCGTGTCCCTTTATAAAAATTAAGACACCCTTAATCTCTTCAAAACTAATATAAAATAGATAGTAGTATTCTTTTGGCCTACTTACAGTATTAACATTAAGAAGTTAAAATCTGGTAAAATTAAAGATTCCTTTAAGTTAACTTTGACTCTTGGTTGGCACCTGGTTTAGGAGGATTTCTCATTGTTCACTCTCCTGCATTTGAGCCATTCTGTATGTTCCTTAAATTTATCACCTATTCTGTATAATAAAAGGCTTCCCTAGCTTATTTTCACTTGCCATTTTTTATCTGTGCATTGAGACACAAGAACCTTTTCCTTTGATATCAGGTCTTTTAAAAACCTTCCTATTTTCTGCAAGATGGTCTCACATTAGGAATGAAACTAAATGTGACTGTGAGACTAATGTGACTAAAGGAGGCCTGTCTTCCACATATGGGCCAGTCGTGATGATACAAGAAATGGAGATGAGTGGGAAGACTAAGTGTAATAGCAAAATATTGTGAGAAACACACAACAATTATTTTCTTATTTTACTTCCCCTCCATCTGTCTTCATCCCCTTGCAGTTTTCTCCTAGTTGGAGTCACTTGGTAGAATCTGAATTTCATGGACAGAAAAGTGATCGGGAATAAGCTATGCAAGTTAAGATATAAAATGCAGGCAGTTTTTTGGATTTTTGCTCCCTACTATACTCTTTCTTGCAAAAGGTTCACTAGAGCCTCTTGATCTCCTGCTTGAGCAGGAGAATCATATACAGGGGATCCTATAGGAGCAGGAGATCCTATACCAAGAATCCTGGTACAGAGTCTCCTCCTTGAACAGGAGGTTGGACTAGAAGACCTCCAAGGTCCCTTCCAGCTCTCTTCTGATTGAAAGATACTTAATAAGGAAATGATGAGTTTACATTGGTATATGAGAAAATAACTTTTTAAATGTTTTTAAAGACAGTGCTCCATGCTATTGTCAGTATATCCTTGGATTATTTCCACACTGTTTTTGTTAAAAACATGGCTCAGATATACTTAAGTTTTCACTAACATATATGCCCTTATAAGGAAGCACTGTACATTTCAGTAATGCATGTTAGAATAGCGGAAAGGAAAATAATAGAAATAGGCAATTCCTAAGATCCCAAACAGAGATTAGGACTTTTTAATCTGTAAATAATGGAAGAAACCAGAAGGGAATGATGACATCATAATTCTCAAATTGGGTAGCAGCCATCTCCAATGACCATTTCAACATTTCTAATTGGTTTTCTGCATGGAAAATCTTCAATCTAGATATAAGCATGCATGGACTTTTATGGATAATTATGTGCCTGTATACATTATTGCCCATAGAGGTATTGAGGCACAATATGCACTGGTTCATGATACTAGGGAACGACAGCTGGTCCTGGCCCCCTACCCTGAAATGTTCAATTTGAGTCAATATTTTTATTTTAAGAGAGTGAAACCTATATGAGTACCAATATGTATTTCTTCATATATTTAAGAAGAAAAACTTAAGCATATGTAACTGAATTGAAAGCATCTTACTTTCCTGTAATCTTACTGCCTTTTCCTCCTCCCGTAAGTGTTCATGTCATATATGGATTACAAATTCCTCAAGATGAAAATATGTCTCTTTGTTATAACTCTGTGAAGGAACACATGTTAAATAAATCCAGCATCTTGGGGCCTGTTTTGTTAAGATTCAACTAAACTTGTTGGTAACCTCTTCAATTTGTGCCACAACAATTTTTATGTCCATTTGTTTGCCATTTTCTTTTTGTAAATCATTTCCTTCTATGAATATCTTACATATATGTTGCACTTTTTTCTCATACCTTTTATTTTCCTTCAAGGTAATTGTAGATCTCACTCAAGACAGAGATTACCTGCAGTCCCAAACGCCGCTGAGTCCTCTAAAAACATCAAGTCCAGCTTCTTCCCCAAATCTTGCCAGCCGTCTCTCCAATGAGGACAAGCAGCATTTGTCTGTGGAGCTTGCAGATGCAAAAGCCAAACTAAGAAGGATCAGGCAGGAGCTGTGAGTACTAAGAGTGAGAGCACTTTGGTCTGTACTGGTAGTTGTTCATTTGGAATATAATTTCAGGATAGGACACACCATAAAAAACAAAACACTGTGCGGTTGGTTCATTTCTCTCTCCCTCCTACTCGTGCATATAGACAAACTTCCATACAATAGCCATTCTTAGCAGTTTGTGTAAAGAATTAGCAGAAAGTACAACAATTTTCATTTAGTGACAGTTCAAAATTACAGTGGCACTGAAAAAAAGTGACATGACCATTTTTCACACTTATATTGCAGCAGCTCCCATTGTCATGTGATTTACATTTAGAGGCTTGACAACTGACTCACATTTATGATGGTTGCAGTGTCCCAGAGTCATGTGATCTCCTTTTGCTACCTTCTGACAAGCAGAGACAATGGGGAAGCCAGACTCACTTAACAACCATGTGACTAATTTAAGAACTACAGTGATTCCCTTAACAAATGAGGCAAGAAAAGTTGTAAAATGGAGCAAACCCACTTACATTTCTCACTTAGCAACATAAATTTGGGGCTCCATTGTCATCATAACTTGAGGACTACCTGTACACACTTAGAAATGTTATGAGCAGATATAAATACAGGAGGTCCTCGCTTAATGACTGTTAAGTGTTCAACAACCATTCAAATTTGTGACAGCACTGAATGAGTGCCACTTAAGACCTGTCCTGAGAATTCCTGCCATTGTAGTGTTCCCATGGCCACATGATCACCATCTGCAGTTTACTGAGCCTCCTTCAGAATAGCAAAATCATCGGGGAAGCTTGCAGGAGGTTGCAAATGGCAGCCATGTGACATCCACTTAGTGACCTGTGATGCTTAACTATGGCATTGCTGTTCTGAAACAATTTAAGACTACATGGCTTATCAAGAAAAATTCTGGTCCCAGTTG